TGGGGGCGGTCTGCCCCGGGTGTCACCACTGAGGCGGGGTGACAAACTGCCGGGCAGCACTCACCATGGGGCCTGCAGCGCACTTAAGCCATGCGTCTTTCCTGGAAGAGGCTTATGCACGCAGGCTTCGCACTGCCCCAAACGGTCCGCCCACCACCTCCCCCTCAGCTGTAGGGCGGCTGAATGGGAGGAGGCAACAGACTCCTTGGAGGCCCCACGGAGCATCCTGCCCTGGCTGGAGTGTCCTGCTCCCAGGCGCCCAATCAACTTGCTCCGCCACTGGCTATGAGATTTAGAAGCAATACATATATGACACTTGTTATTCTCCTTCTTATAGTTACTGTGTCACTGAATACAAAGTGGCCTGATTGACACTTAGCACTTAAGTCAAACCATCGCTAAGCATAAACACACAAGGGTGCAGATCCTTGCAATAAAAACTGCAGCCTCTTCACTCCTCTCCTCTCCTGGTCCTCCTGCTGTTGTGCTGCCTGGAGCCAAGCTATGGTTTGGCTTGGCGTGATATTCAAACCCAGGATTGTGGCTTATCTCCCCCAGAGAAACTACAAGCTGTAGCCAAGGTTGGGTCTTGACTTAAGGCTCATGGTTTGTTTTCCCCATCACTTTTCAAACTGCCCAAAGTCCATCTAGGGACTCAGTGCTAGGACGACAGTGCATTTTAATCCACTTCAGATGCACAAACCTACAATTCTAGTATGTGTTTGAATCTGTCCTGCAAACTGCTTGGTGCATCATTTGTTTAATGAAAATTGTGATCCTTGAAATTTAAGTAGAAAGAGGGTTAGGGACTGCATGTCTGATTTATTTATTGTTAACCTTGGCTCTGTTGTTTTTTTTTTTCCTGCACTGTGGTGCTCCTTGTCTGTCATCTTGATCTTGTCTAGCCCATAACAATTAAAAATTTGTCTGCAGTTCATTTTCTTCTCTGTGTGAAAATAGAAGGGGAGTTAAAGCTCTTCTCATTTGATTTCATTTGACTGATAACCTTCTTCATTAATTTCACAAGATCGTGTTTTAATATCTGTCTCAATTACTTTTCCGGGTAATGATGAGTGACAGCCTAAAGAACCACATTTCTGAGAAACAAAAAATGTATTCAGTGGAATGAACAGAGAATCCCGTTTGCGTATAGACCCTCTAGAAAAAAATGTAAAGAGAATGGGGACTTTCTTGCTATATATTTTGTGGTTTGTAGGAATAAAACAAGAGGCTATTTTCACTGGTGACACTCTAGCTCATTCTCCCCCAACATGGTGTCCACCAGAGGTTTTGGAATACAGTTACCCTCATTCCTGACCATTGACTAGGACTGATGGTAATTGTGTTCTACAACATCTGGAGGACAACAAGTTGGGGAAGGCTGCCTAGCTTGACCTATGAACCTAAATAAGAAGCCTGACTGTTTTTGAAATGAACCTTCTGTTCTTATATTCATTGTTTTGACAGGCTATTGCACTCCATTTGGATAATCATTAATCATATCAAATCAGTCTACGTAGACCATGTATTTTGGGAGCCAAAACTGGAAATATGGTGCAAATTAGTAGACTTCATAATGCTTGAGAGCCACTGTAGTGTAGAAAAGCCAGTGTGGTTTGTATGTAGATTATCTGTATGGAGAAACCTGGATTCACATGTTTGCTCAGCATGGAGCTCACTGGATGACCTTGAGCAGTCACACAATCTCATCCCCATATTGTTACTGAGGTACTAAGATGGATAATTCTGCGTACACCACCTGAGCTCATTGGAAGAAAGGTGGGATAGAAATGTTATAAGCAACTATTAGAAATTTGGATCAGCATTTGTCGTGTGTAGTGGGCCTTTATAAGAAGATGTGAGCTAATCATAGTGTTTCTTTAGAGCAGAGCTAAGGAACTTTTGGCCCTCCATGTGTTGCTAAATCTCCCATCACCCCTAATTTCTTGTCATGCTGTCTCAGGCTGATGGGAATGGAAGCCCAACAACATCTGGAGGGTCAAAGGTTTTCCAGCCCTGCTTTAGAGAAGAGAACATGGGCCTACCACTCCACCTCCAGTCTCTCTCAGAAGGCTCACCTTGATAAGCAAGATGGAAAGGGGAATGGGAGGGTCTTGTCTCTTACACATGATGTGTACACCTGAGGTCCAGTATAACTGTGAGGTTAATGCTTCATTTCTCCTTTGCACTTCCAAGCTGGGGGAGCAATCCTGTTGCTTTCATGCTAGCTTCACAGGGGTTTAGTCTTCATAAACAATGTCTGGCTGTCCCTCCATTCATGGTGGACTTGCAGTGGCTGTAATAACTGCTTCAAAGTAGTAGTGTTCATTAGACATTTCTAAAATAGTCTTTATGCAAGTTTATTTAAGGAAGTGACAATAAAAGTGAATATTAGAGGTATTCTGTGATTTTAAGTCAAGCAAAACTGTTGGCATGGCCTTCTCCTGCTCAAGAGACTGAGCTGGCCTTTTCCCACCGAAGGGCATATTCTCATGATCGGTTCCATGTGCGACAGCTGCGGTTTTCAGTCAGTCAGCAGTGACTTCCAGCTGGAGTTGCTATACACTCAGTTGCTTGTAGGAATGCCAGTGGCATGTGCCAGACTTGGTGCCTTTTGACATCCCAGTAGGAGAACAGCTTTTCAACAGATGATGGTGCCATGCAAATGCTATTTTGTGTGCTTTGTCAAGCTGTCAGCATTTGCACAGCCACCCACTGAAAGCTAGTGTGGCGGGAAGTCAGCAAGCTGACCAGGGCAGCTGAAAACTCAGGCCTCTTTACCACTTGTGGCCAACCAAGTGGAAAGCAACTCACCAGTTATGAATTCTGGCCTTCCAGGTCCGTGACAATATCCTGGTCCTCTTTTTAACTGCCTAGGAGTGCAAAAATGGGGGAGACAACTGAGCATCTGGTGGGCTGCAATACATGGTGCTAAGCTGCATTTGGCTTGGTGGGTCACAAGTTGCATTTCCCTGCAATAAGAAGAGATCATAAAAAATTTAAGGTCCCCCTTCCCCAAGTTGGAATTCTATGTAGGGGGGGGGAGTCCTCTTGAGTACAGTGGAACCTTGGTTCTCGAACTGCTTACTTGATGAACAGATCGGCTCCAAAATGCTGAAAACCTGGAAGTAAGTGTTTTGGTTTTCGAACGTTTTTCAGAAGCCAGACATCTGACGCGGCTTCCGCTTGAGTGCAGGAAGCTCCTGCAGCCAATCAGAAGCCGCACCTTGGTTTTTGAACTTTTCAGAAGTCGAACAGACTCCTGGAACTGATTCCGTTCAAGAACCAAGATCTCACTGTATTTCGTTTCAGTTGCTGTCTCTCACATTGCATGTAACATAATTAGTTTTGTTCTGAGCACAGTAACTCCTTTAACCTCCCATGCACTTTTAAGAACCTAATCTGACCAGATAGGCTTTGTAATGTGAGTGATTTGCCATCCTGGATGGAAGAATTGATGCCATTCTCTATTAATCTGCTGGTTAACTTCCAGATATGAAAGAAATCATGTGTTTTTTTAACTGGGAGCTTTCTTTTCTCTTCCTCCCCCCCCCCCCCCCCGCCCCTGGCCCCATTTCTGTTTTTTGACTCCATCCCTCAAATTCTATTCATGCTTTATTTCATCCTTTGGCTATTAACTTTGATATTTTTCCTCCCACCCTACATCCCTCATCCTTGCACTCTTCCCATCAGCAATCTTTTTCATCTGTTTTAAGTACAAGTCAAAACATTTGCTTGTGGTAATGTTGGCTTGACTTACCATTACAACATTTAGCTTCTGCTTCTAGGCATGTAATCAAACACTAGCGTTAGTGGGAACTCTGTAATTGTATCATTAAAAAACAAAAATCTATAAATGCCCCTGAATAAAAGTTAGCTTTCCTTTCATGCTGAAATGTTCTATTTCTGCATAGATAAAAAAATAAAGCTATATTTAAATACATCAATCAAAGATTTGTGGGCACATTTTCAGTCCGATAATCTGTGCTGGGCTACAGTAGCAGAAGGCTTGTGGCTGCACAGCAGGAACACACTAACATTGAGAAAAAGGTCCTAACCCTGTGATGATGCAGGATGGATTAAGGTCAGAGTTAGGATTTCTTTTTTAACAAGTTGGGATGAGGTGAACTATGAGGGGAGCTTTGTAGTTGCCACAGCCCTTTTCTTGCTCCCTTTGAACATTTGTGAACACTTGTAAGAGCTGCTGAATTTGTTGAAATTCCATCCATGTTTCCCTGCCTCAACCATGGTTTCTTGGAAGTAACACTATTTATGCCACCAATCTTTCCAACCAAATTAAATAAATAGTAGAGCCTGCTTGGTTGTAGGTGTGGTTGGCTGATTGTAACCTTGCCACAATTAAGTAATATCCAGTCAAGACTTTGGGAACATCAGCTGGTTCAGAACATGGCAGCCATGTCGTTGACAGGATCTAGTCACTGTGAGGTTATTGGAGAAAGGGGCTTTTGTTTCTGTGCACAATTTGAAGTGCTGGTTTTAACCTTTCTAAAGCCTTAAATGAAGGATGGTCAACCTGTGACCTTCTAAGCTTTGTACACACTGTAACCCTGAAGGTATTGAAATGGAAAAAGTGAAACTAAAAACCGTCCTTCATTTTGGCTAGTTTGGCATTTTCACATAAACTGCTCGTTTGCTTGCTTCTCCTAGTCTAAAACTTGATAAAAGGCCAGCAAAGTGTTTGTTTGTTTGTTTGTTTGTTTGTTTGTTTGTTTTTAAAAACTGGTTCATGTTTTTTGTCTTACAATTAAAATAGATGAATCAGGAGGAGGTGAATGGTAAGGTATTTTTTCTGTGAAAGGTATTCTTTCAGTTACTTTATTTGTAACAATGTACCTCTTTCAATAAATGCTGCATTTTCAAAGCTCTAGGAATTATGTGAATAGACCCCAGGCATCATCACAGAATATTTTAGCACAAAATCCTTTTAATCTTTCAAATGTGATTCTTTGACTATAAAATCATAATTCAAAGCAGGAAAGTTCCAAGTTAGTCTGCAACAGGATTCTAATATATATGTATTTAATATGAAAAGTCTCCCGTGTGATATTGTGAACTGTACCACATATTTGACACTTTGTATTATTGTGAACCGTACTCCTTGACAGACTTAATTGCTTTAGCAGTGAAATGTCAAGTATTGACAGTCGGTTACGTAGGTAAAATCTAATCAGTTTGTGCAGGCACGATGCAGGGTGGACCAACTCACTTAACTTTTGTACCTTTGATAGAAACCATGCTCATTAAAATAATTCCTGAATCACCACACACACACACACACACACACACACACACACACTATTGTCTGTTCCAGCAGTGCTATTGCTGCACATCACACCAGCCATATAGCTAATGGCTTATTCACTCTCACATTCTCTCACCTATGAAAAGTGTTGTTCCTTCAACCATTGGCAAGGCAGAACAACCCCAGTGTAAAAGATCATAGAATCATAGAGTTGGAATAGACCACAAGGGCCATCGAGTCCAACCCCCTGCCAAGCAGGAAACACCATCAGAGCACTCCTGACCTATGGTTGTCAAGCCTCTGCTTAAAGACCTCCAAAGAAGGAGACTCCACCACACTCCTTGGCAGCAAATTCCACTGTCAAACAGCTCTTACTGTCAGGTGAGACACAACTCTGACATGGGCAGTAGGAACAGACAGAAGCAGCCTTTCATTTTAAAAAAAATGAAAACTGGAAGCTGATGGAGCAAGAAGCTGCCGATCTGGGACATGTCCAAGGTTTAAACAAGAATTATGGATGATACTGTTGCTATATAAAACAGTGGTCACACTCCAGAGAGGTCATTAGGTATACCTCAGGGCTTGTACATGTCCAGCTGAACCTCTGAACTTATCTTTGAAACGCAGCTCCCCAAGCTGAAATGTAAATTACTTTTGAAGTTTTCTGAAGGGGCTTTCTCACAGGACAAAGGCATAGAGAGAGAGGAACGTCTAATGCCCTAGTGGGCAGTAGTATGGCTCGTGAGGTATTAATTTGGAACTGCCTAGAATTCTTGTATTCATGCTTTAATATCTAGCAAAGGCAGATTATGTACTCAATCCATGCCTCACACTCTTGTAATTAGGATTAGGGCTAAAATGAAAGTACTTACTTTTTTCCAGGAGGTGGCCAAAAGTAACTTCCCACTGCACCCTTTGACAATTTTTCTGCAGCTGCTTCAAAAGTCAACATGTGTTCTTTTGTGTCACACTCTTTGAATTTTCTTTGTTTGCCCCTTAGCGTAGCCAAACCCAGTTGACTACATAGGATGCTGATTCTTCAACACATTCACTCAGGGATCACCAATGTGACTAATCCTAGAAGGGGAGGGAAGAGCGCTGATACTGAATTTTTATAATGACTTTCCTGCACTATTAGCTAGCAAAAATGATGGTACAAAACAGGACGGGAAAAAACAAATATTCAAAATTAAACTCCACTTTGGGAAATGCTTCTCCTTACCCCCCTCAGCCCAGATAGTTGTTTCCTGCTTAAAAACCAAGTCAGGAGAATATTTGGAGCAATCCTAACTTGTATTTCTTATTATTCTTACCTTTATTTCTCTCACTCTGAGAATGTCATCATTTTTGAGTGTTTCATAAATGTTCTGAGGGTACCGGTGCATTTTCTTATTTAACTTACAGCTACTTTTTCCTAGTTAAACGTTGATGATGTGAAGCCTATTGATATATTTTTTTTACTCTGTTTCAGATGCAGGAATCTCTGTCCCATGCCCTTGTTCTGACTGGATGATGCAGCGTATCCCTGCTCTTTGGAGAAGTCAGTCGATTTGCTGGTGAGTTGCAGCATGCCAATGAGGTACTGTGGTGCTTGAGATTTTATGCTGTCATAAAGATTTAGCTGTTATAGATTTCACCTTGACACTGGAGAGCTATTGTACTTGAAGGTGTCCAAAAGAGAGCCTTCCATGCCACCTTTCAGCTGTGCTTAAATCACCAGATTTGTAAATATATTTCAGGATTGTCTATAGGCAGGAGATTCCATAGAAAGAAAAGAGTGGTTTCCCATTCCCCCACTGCCTTCCTCCCTTTGCAGCAGTCTTTGAGGCAACCATAGGCACCAACTCCTGGGGACCAAGGCAGTTTTGTCTGCCATGTAGTTTTTGAGGGAGTAAGGCCCCCTCAATTTTCAGAGGGTGTTCAGCTCTGCCCCCTGGCTTCTCACGACATCAGGAAGTCATGTGTCGTTGCCCCCTTAATACTCTGGAGAAGCTGGCGCCTCTGCAGGGAACTATGTAACCTATGAGCCAACACATACACTGCTAATCCATGCAGTGTCAGAGAAAGGGAGAGAATGAATTTCTTTGCTGCTCACACCACCACACCTTACAGCTTTAAAAAAAGTAAACGGGAATGTGCTTCAGCATTGTGGGGCTCCTGGGCAATGGGGTGTGGAGGTGGGATCAGAAAAACAATCTCTTCTTGTTTGGGGGGGGGGATTAGCTAACTATTCAGTCCAAGCCAAATTTTGGAGAGCTCACTTGATCCTGTGGTTTAATACCTTACCACTTCCTTTTCTGCCTCTTCTACATGCCTTGTCCATGCATGGATTCCTATACTACCAAACACCTAGCTCATCACTTTGGGCCTTTGTCCCATGTGTGGAGAGTTGTGTTCATGAAACAGCTGCATGCATGTATTGTCATGCACAAGGCATGATCAGGAGCCAGCACTGTTTAAAATGGCATGCGTATAAATGAAAAATTCAAGAGACTGAAATTATTTGCATTGAATTTTAATATTTCAGATTCAGCAGACATGTGGGGGGATAGTATTGTGTCAGTATGAGCCTATTTAATTTAGGTTTAGCAACTTGTAGAATTGTTCATGGATGTTTAAAGGTGCTTACTATATCTATCATTTAATTTTAATTTTTGGCGTGTATTCTTATTGAATCTTTGAATGACAGGATTTTACACAAAGGTTTTTGTGTGTGTTGCTATTTGTTTTATCATTCAACTAAGTTTTGAATTAGCCTCTGACCGAACTTATATTAATTTCAATGGGGCCACTCTGAATAAAACATAGTTGACTACCACCCTCAGCACTTATACAGCATAATTCAAATATTTTTTATACATTATCTCAGTAATCCTTACAACGGGCATATTAGGTAGACTTGTATAAGGTGCCACTGATTTCTGTCGGGAGCTAAAAATGCAATCTTGGGAGTAAGCCCTATTAAACACACACGTCTGAGTACACATATACAGAATCAGACTGTAAGATTGAGCAAATAGCAGCTCACCTAAGGTCACTTATTTTGAATTCATGGTCGCTTTGAACCGTTAATTTGCTGACTCGCAGCTCACTCTTGTGGTTGCTCTGCTATGCCAGCTCTCATTGTTCCAGCATCCACATAAAGCAGCTTGGCTTTCAGAATTATGGCAGCCTTCAGGTAAACCTCCCAGGCTGGATTGAGCCAACAAGTCCTGCTAGTGGAAGCCCATGCAAAGACTTCCACTAGCGCAATGGGGATTTCTCCTCCCTCCTCTGCTAGGCATGTGCAGGAAGGAGAGGGATATTGTTTCATCTGGCAAGCTGAAATTAAGGAACAATGGACAAAATATATTAAAAAATTTAAAAATTGTCCAATAGCACCTTAGAGACCAACTAAGTTTGTTCTTGGTATAAGCTTTCGTGTGCATGCACACTTCTTCAGATAGATATATATTTTGACTGCATCAGACCAACACGGCTACCTACCTGAATCTGGAACAATGGCCTTAGCATTTCGTTGAGTTCCTCTCTGTGTGTTTCAGTGATGATAAACAGTAGATCCTATCATAGTCACGTAATAGGTGGAAGCAACTGAGGCAGATATCCAGAAAGTGAACCAGAGAGTGCTTAATCTTCAAGTTAGTAGACGAGTCCTGCTCTAGACTAGTCTCTAAGAAACTGTAGTGGGAAAGTATCTGCCAGCTTCCTAAATGTCAAGTGGTATAAAGTACTCATTGAGAACCCAACTGCTGAAGACAGAGATTTAAGAACTGATGTTTCAAATGGAAGCATCATAGGGGAAAGGAATAAATGGGGAAGCATCTCAGTCTTGTCAGATGTTCTATCTGTGTCCTTAACAGCATGACTTAAAATAGAACAATTCCTAAGAGTTGCTGCAGCAGGAGAACTGGAATGGACTGACCCAGATCCTGTGGCCATCATCTGTGGTCCTAGTCTGTGTGCATCCTCCATGAGAGGTCCATAGGCGGGCAGCACAAGAATGGGCCTTTTCTGCAGTGGCCCCACATTTGTGGAATGCTCTTCCCAAGGTGGCTTGCCTGACACTTGCATTACATATCTTTAGGTGCCAGCTGAAAATGTTTCTCTATAGCCAGGCCTTTGGCTGATTAAACAATCTAAATGTGTTTGTGGGAAGGGGGTTATTGGCTTGTTTTTGTTTTATTATGTATTTCATGTTCTCATTTTGTATTTTTATGTTGTGAACTGCCTTGTGGTCATCGGATAAAGGGTGGTATACAAACTAAATAAATAATTAATAATATAATCAAATCTGGCCATTATGCTTATCAGAGCATGGGTATGAGTACTGATATGGATAGCTCTTAAACTGGAGAGAGAGAGAGAGAGAGAGAGAGAGAGAATTGGTTTCTCATTTGGTTTCTCACTGTTTTAACAATATATTTAGAACTCTAACAGCTACAGTTTGTATTCTAATCTGAGATACTTATCCCCATCCTTGTTAATTTGGTTTATTAGTAGTAGTAACAGCAATAGTATACTACATTTCATCAAAAGATCACAGAAGGAGTTTCTTCAATAATATTGTCTGTTGTTGGTCCCAGCCTGGTTTGGCTGCCAGTGACTTCTGTTGATTAAAGGAAAAATATACAAAGTAATGCATCATGGCAGCCAGCACAGGAGGATGATAAATGGTTCTTACATCTTCACTGTTCATACGAAGAAATAGTTTTATGGCATTCTAGGAAAGAAAGCAGGATTAGAAACAGTTATGTGCAACCAAGGAGTGGCTGCTCGCTGCTCTGCTTTCATGTATGGTGAAATTGAGGATGACACCTTAATCAGAAAACTCAGGTGTTTTCTATTCAACAGACGAAGCAATGAAATGGATTTCATGAAGAGAAGGGATCTCTTTATCAACAGTCTGTGAGAATGTAGCTTTCCATTCAGGAGAGCATGTGTGTTAGGGCTTTTTCCACTGAGATCTTCCATTGAGATGTTCCATTGAGACACAACTTGTCTGCAAGATACAGCTGCATCAATGGCATGATATCTATTGGCAATGCAACAGGAGAGGCAACTGGGCTGCACATTGATTCTCTTTGCATTCCAGAGGGAGAATTTGAAGAGCTTCCCAGAACATTGGAAAGTGGGAACCATCAATTAATGAGGGTTGCCGCAGCGAAGGGAAGACATATGATTAATGGGTTAGTTTCCTTTTGGAAGTATCTGTCTCTGAAGCCTTGATTCTACCATCTTTAAGGGGAAACATTTCTTTAAACCTGCTGACAGTACAAAAGTGGTTTGCTACCACTTTTGTAGCAAACTGTATTTAAGAATTGCACAAGTCTATTTGGTAGTTTCTTTCGTCTTGTTGGTTGTTAATAAAAATACAATTTATAAATAATTAAAATTAGAGGGTTTTCAGCTGTGAGTCTGACACACACCACACCAAAATAGCACTACCCACTAGGGTTATAGTGGGAAATGAAGTCTGCAGTCTGAGTTCTGGTGAGCCATAGAAAACTTTACGTACTTCGGAGAAGGCCAAAATGAACATTTCAATCCAAAATGGAAGTTGGCCAGCGTGTGCAAGTCTACACTTCTTTAAAAAGATCTATGACGCCACCTAACTCCTAGCTGTGAAATACAGGGTATGACCACATCGTATTTCCTTTTGTTCAGTCCATCTCCCATTAAGCAAAGGAAGGCTTTAAGCTTTCCAACCAGGCCTATAGTGATGCACACACACAAGTTTGCATGAGGGCCCTTCCATGCAGCCCTAGCCATCTGCCTGAATATAAGAGAATGAGAGGTGGGGAATGTGAGGTGCCCCGCAACTTACTGTAACAACTTCGTGTTGAGGTCCAGCAGTTATTTTTCTTGAAGAAAATCACTGACTTGGATTGAAAAAATGGCCAGGGAAAAAACAATGCTGTCCAGGGTTGTAAAGACTGCAGAGAGAATTCTAAACTCAGCATAAGGGGTCTCTATAGTATAGCGTATTTTTTAGTATAGTGTATTTTATAGTATAGGGACGCGGGTGGCACTGTGGGTAAAAGCCTCAGCGCCTAGGGCTTGCCGATCGAAAGGTCGGCGGTTCGAATCCCTGTGGCGGGGTGCGCTCCCGCTGCTCGGTCCCAGCGCCTGCCAACCTAGCAGTTCGAAAGCACCCCCGAGTGCAAGTAGATAAATAGGGACCGCTTTCTAGCGGGAAGGTAAACGGCGTTTCCGTGTGCAGCTCTGGCTCGCCAGAGCAGCGATGTCACGCTGGCCACGTGACCCAGAAGTGTCTCCGGACAGCGCTGGCCCCCGGCCTCTTGAGTGAGATGGGCGCACAACCCCAGAGTCTGTCAAGACTGGCCCGTACGGGCAGGGGTACCTTTACCTTTTTCTTTATTTTATAGTATAGTATAGTGTATTTTAAAATGGGGTTTCAGAGTTTTTAGGGGTTTTTGAATGTTTTATGTAGTTTTTCAATTTCATTGTTCTGTATGGGACAATGACAATAAAGATATCGTATATATCGTATATCAAAGGCCCTCATAAGGAAGCAGCCCTGGCAGAGGCATACATCTGCCCCAAATAAGCTAGTAAGG